TATCACTTCATATTGTTTCCGTTCTCGAAATTAAAAAAAAAAAACAAAATGGTTGACTCCGATATTGGTGAACTATTACATTATTTACGTATTGTATTAGATTATTCACCAACATCACGTACTTATATAATTGGTGCAATTACTGATTTTGAAAAAATAAGATATGGTAAAGTCTCGAGATCAAATAATAATTATGATTTTATATATGAAGCATCGAGATATTTGTTAACAAGTGACAGAAACTATTTATTAGAATATTTAGCAAAAATTTTTACGATAGATCCATCGCATTTGGGTTACAAGAAATTAAAACCATTACCTTCAAATATATTTATTCATAATGAATTATTGGGAATTGGCTCTAATGCAATGGTTTTCAATTGTTTGGTGGATAATGACAAAAAAAATGAATATACTTTAAAAATCAGTAATACATCTGTTGATAAAGAAGTATTAATCTATAAAACATTATATAACAATAAATATAATATTGATAAAGTTCATGAATATGCTTTATTATTTCGTCATCCACCTGAAAGAATAATATCAACAGTAATTTTATTTAATAATCTTCATATTTTATGGGAACAAATAAAAGAAGCACATAAAAATAATATTTTACATTGTGATATAAGAAAATCAAATATTATTGAAATATGGAATAACCAAACTAGAAGGTAAAAGCAATAAGATGTATTAAAATATGTACTATGAAATTTTTCTAATATGACTATAATTTAAATTAAGCAAAACTTTTCAATATTGATTTTTAAATATTTTTTAAATGATAAATACCAATTTGCTTACAATTTGTTTTTTTGACTTCCTATGAGGACGTTTTCTTTTCTTAAATCAGTTTCGAAGATGACTTAATACGGTAAAATCAATTGAAAATGACGATATTTAATAAAATATATAATAAGGAATATTGATCGAACTTTGCAATCGAGTAAAATTTGAAACAAATTAAATTGAATTTGGAACTTTCAAAGATTTAGATTTAAGCTATTTCGAAAACATGAGTATTGACAGAAACTAGACATATTATTACAAAATTCTAAATATGAAATTTTCATTAATTTTATTTTAGTTTATATTACATTTTATTAAATTGTATTTAGTTATATTTCATTGATTCTACATCAGAGCTCAATAAATGAGAAATGAAGATGTTTTTTATGTAAATCGATTACAAATTGAAAACAAAGAATAGTCATGAGTAACTGACAATAAATTATCAGACGTCCGAAATATCATTTTTAGATCATGCATCCATCCTTTGATAATAATCATTCATGATAAATATTTCAATAATACGTTTTTTCAATAGAATAGACATTAATAATATATACAGAACTCACGTATAGCTACTTAGTATAAGTGATAGTTTCAATAATTATTAGTATTCATTAATTATAGATCATTTAGATGAGTCAAAGAATCGATTGTTGATAGATATATAACTTCATTCTTATGTCAGTTCTATAAGCAGATTTGTTAGAATTTCTTGATTAGTTTCGATTGGTTTCATTAATTTTTTTTTATTTAACTCTCTCTAAGTCTCATTTGTTTACTATTGACTTCTATCATTTTTTTCTCTATTTTATTGTTTTGTCTAGTCTCTCGGAGAATATTGAGAATTATGAGTCATTTGTTTTTAAAATTGTCATCACTAGAAATTCTCAATAATCGATTTTAATCAGAGAGAATTTCAAAAAAAATTGATGAATAATTATGTTTATGTCAAGGGGGGAATCAGCAGAGACTTCAGCCGTGAAGTCTCATGAAGTCTTGTAAGTCTTTTGAAGTCTTCTGAAGTCTCTTGAAGTCTTCTGAAGTCTCTTGAAGCCTTTTGAAGTCTTATGAATTATCATAAAGTCTCATAAAGTCTCTGAAGTCTTTGAAGTCTCATAAAGTCTCATGAAGTCTCTTGAAGTCACTTGAAGTCTCTTGAAGTCTCATGAAATCTAATGAAGTCTCATGAATTCTTTTGAAAGTTTTGAAATACATTTAGTGCATGAAAATTCATAAGAAACCAATGA